ACATTAAGGGCGAGGAACATTTAGGATATTTAAAATAAATAAGGGCGAGGAACATTTAGGATATTTAAAATAAATAAATAAATATTTTAAAATGAGGGTGTCATTGTAAAAAGAACTTAAAAACAGAGATGTTTTTAGAAAAATCACCGTTTCATTTTTCCTGGGCTGAATTTGTTATATATATATATATATATATATATATATATATATATATATATATATATATATATATATATATATATGCTTTATTTTCTCCTTGAGTGTGGACATAGGACTAATTCATAGTCAATGCATCAATATCGGAAAACATCTTCTTTTACATCAAATGCCGGAAGACCTAGTGTAGTTGAACTTCAATATCAAACGTTTGGTTTTGTCAGATACGAATGCAGAACAATGAGTTTATGACTCTCAAAACCTTTCGTGAAGCGATGACTCTATAGGCTACAGCAGCATGGAGACCACGGGCACCACAGTAGAGGAGGAGGACATTATACTAGTGAGAGTACTGAGAAAAATAATAGAAGATAAGAACAATTATTGTAGAAGCTTTATTGAAGAAGAAGTAGAGAAGCTTTATTGAAATAAAATACATTAACATGTCCCTCTCCTATTTATACAGATTAGGAGAGAGGATTCAATAGAATAGAGGATTTTTCTCAACAGAGCAGAGAGATTTTCTCATATAGTAGAGGAGGAAGCTACAACAGAGGTGCAGTAGAGGAGAAAGCTGCAATAGAGGTACAGCAGAGGAAGCTTTATTGAAGAAGAAGGCTACAGCAAAGGAGAAAATGTGGGGCAGTGCTGGTGAGCGTAGCATTAGAGATGCCATAGCGGAAGGGAACGGATGTTCTATTTGCCGAAGACGAAAAATTTATCGCTAGGCAAGTGGCTCTAATACCATGAGAAAAATAATAGAAGATAAGAACAATTATTGTAGAAGATTTATTGAAGAAAAAGTGAAGAACCTTTATTGAAATAACTTTAGCTTTAATACATTAACATGTCCCTCTCCTATTTATACAGATTAAGAGAAAGAATTTTCCTCAGCAGAATAGAGGATTAATTCTACTATATTTCCACGGAACCGTCCAAACAAAAACGAGCGTCGTGGCCGTCAGGCTCGAAGGGAAGCACGTGGAATTAGTCCAACCAGTTTAGTAAGATGAATCCACCCTCCCCGTGGAAGTCTTCCCTTCGCTCCTTTTTCATGTCGATATGGAAGAAAGTAAAGACTGATGGCCTCGAAAGACATGGATTTCCGAAATGTAGAGTAAG